GGCAAGCCTGGCAGCCTCTGTGGCTCAGCCTGGGGCATTGGTTGGGCTCAGCCTGGGGTGTTGGTTAGGCAGCTGAGCCAGGCCCCTCTCATGTCCCCGGTGCTGTCCCTTCCTGTCCCTACTCACGGGGGCTCGGCCGCCCTTGGAGCCTTTTCATGTACTGCCCTGCCATCACAAAGTTCCCTTCTTTCAAGCTCCTTCCCCTATGGGCAGAGCTGGCGAGAGGCTTTCACCTCCCCTTTCCACAGATCCCAGCTATGGCTTACTGCCTGTTGCTGGTGCACGGGTCTCACCTTCCAGTTTGGCCAGCAGAGCTGAATGCCACAGCAGCTTCCAAAGCCTGCTCCATCAAGCAGGATGCCCCATGGTCCCCAGCTCTGCAGCGAGGCTTCCTCTGAGTGGACCTTGCTGACCATCTGCTCCCCGCCCTGGAGAAGGGTGGATGAGCTCCAGCTCCCCTGGATTTCCCTTCTTCTAGTTGGGCTCTCCACACCCAGGGTCCAAATCATTCTCCTGTCCATGGTTTTGCTGGCTGAGGTAGTAGCACCCAGCAAAGCCTTTTCAAACCAAGCAGACCTAGGGCATCTAGTCCAGGGACAACCCTCAGGAATGCTAGCGAGGTGTACCAAGGGACATGGAGCCATGAGGAGCTCTGGACAGCAAGTGGAGGAGATGCAGTGGTGAACAACTCATTGTAGGGCCTGGCCCCTCCATGCTTGCATTGCTGCTGGGGAGATTTACTGCTTCTCTGGTTCCTGTCTGTGCAACCCAGGGCTTTGTCAAGCCCAGGTCCATCACTTGTTTATGGGAAAGGAGGAGCTGTGGCTGGGGATATGGCAGGAAAATCACGGCATCACAGAGCAGCTGAGGGTGGGGGCACCTCTGGAGATCACCTAGTCCAACCCCCTGCTCTAAAAAAATTGTGCAAACAATTCAAAGAGTCTCCCAAATTCTTCCCTGCACGTCTCCCCGTCCCAAGCACTCCCCGTGCTCTGACAGAGGCCACATGAGAAGCAGAAGGGTTTCTCTCAATGCTTCTTCCCAGGCATGGTTCGCAGCAGCCCCAAGGGGCTGCCTGCCCTCCGCTGTGCCCTTCCCATGCTGGGTACCAGGGTTTCCCACCACATACCCAAAGGAGCCTTCGTCTGCTCCAGCCCTCATCTTCACTTTGATTTCCAAAGGAAGGGGAGCCTTTGAGGTTGGTGTTCCCACGCATTCATTAGCTGTCCTGTCCCTTTTCCCTCACAGCCGCAGGGCTTGTCTCATCTACATTCAGGGCAAAGGAAAAAGGACCCAGAGCTACTCTCTTTTGCAAAGCATGGTTGCTGCAAGCCCCTGGACCACACCCTTATGGGCGCTTTATGTTTAAAAAGCCCTTATGAAAGGCTTCAGCAGCACCGCTATCCGCCCTGCGTGTCCTGGTGCAGGCTGTCCACATGTGCATCCAGGTCAACCCATTGGTGCACATACAAACCCCGTTTCTCTGGGGGAGGGTGGTCAAACACTGGCACGGGTTGCCCAGGGGGGTGTGGAGTCTTTGTGGAGACATTCAAAACCTGCATGGACTAATTTCTGAGCTGTAAGCTGGCCCTGCTTGGAGCAGCGTGGGCTTGCACAAGGTGATCTCCAGAGATCCTCGCTGGCCTCAGGGCTCCTGTGGTCTGTGGCAACTGCCTCAGCCATGACCAGGGCCACCCCTCCGCCTGGCAGCGAAGGGCGCTGTGAGACAGCGGTGGTGATGGGGAGCAGGGCCTGACTGGGACTCGAGGGGAGGTGTGGGGGCTGATGGGGCAGGAGCAGGGCGCACAGAGGAGGGCAGGAGGCTGGGGGCGGTTTGGAGGGGTCAGGGAGGAATGTGGGTGCTGTGGGTCTCGCTCCACGTGGATGTCTTCTGCTGGGAAGCAGAGATAGCTCTCCGTCTGCGTTATGGTCACACTGTCCCCTCACCTTCTATCCCCAATGCTGGCCAGCCGGGAGGTTTTATCTAAGTCCAGCTCCCCCTATTTCCTGGGAGGAGACACCAAGGACATGCAGCTGGGGCTCATTCTGGTGAGCCCCGCCTGGCCGTAAGGCCTGGGAGCTGACATTGCCGGGCAGGCTGGATCTGTGCCGTGTTGCATTGCATTGGCATGGTGCACGCTGTTATTCCTGCGGCTCATTCAGTGCCACAGGTCAGGTTACTCTGTCTCCAAACATGGTTGAAGGGTGTGTGTGTGTAGCAGCCTGGTGTGTTACAGAGACCTGCATCTTTTTATAGTGGCCTTTTGACGGCTGGGTCCTTCATACACCCAATCCCAGCTCTGCCGGGTGGCACTGCTGCCCTTCCCCCAGCAGCCTCCCACCGTGGGTCACCAGCTCTGAATTCCAGGGGTGATAAGGGGACGGTGGGTGCCGGTGACACAGAGGGGTCTCCC